ACTCCAGGCTAGTCTGATTAAAATTGAGGGTGTAGATACAAAGAGAGTCATTTAGCCAGCCCCCAATGGGTCCCCATCCATCCAGGTTGGAGATAGTCCTTTAAATTATGTCTTTTCCAGTATGCACAATCCCCTGATTGTAGGTCGTAGGGCATCTGATCTTCATCCAAAAATAGATTACTGAGAGAGCTTTAGAAACAAACTTAGAGTGTCCTTTAATAATTCAATTAAACTTTTTAGCAATATAACATAACAGCAAGGAACTATCTGGGAAGTGAGTCTTGGTAACACAGACCTTAATTAACAAAACTAGAATTTAATACTCAGTGAAACGTAATTTTTTCCCCCCCATTGTAAGGGCATTAACCCTGCAGCCAGGGAAGGCTTTATCCCATCAAACAAATGAGGTTTGTCAGGGAGCCGGAAAAAACCAAGCCGCTGTCTTGGATTTCCCATAGCCCTGACTGTTTGATTGACAGCTATTGTTTACCCATTTTAAATTCCCTGATTTAGGAGTAGACTGTTGCCATGTTTTAAGGGCATCAGGATGGCAAAAGTCTGGCAATGAGGGGTTAATTTTTGTAGAACCAGAATGAACTTTATCTACATCCGCCATAATCTTCATAGATCATTGTGAAATACTACTTATTTACTCAACCAAAGTAACAAAAGGATTTTAAAAGCAAATATAAATCACTTAAATGCAAGGTAATTCACACGGTCTGTTATCAAAGGCAGCATTCCAGGAAAACTTCGTTCTCTTAACAGAGAGAGAGAACCAAATTCCAGTCTGGTACCAGCTGACTGTTAATAACAAAATTTACTTAATTAATTTTAATTCAATCTTAGAAAGTCCTTTCTATAAATCTTGAAGAGGCAGTATTTTTGCAAAGGCAGTTCAACATCTTAAGAAAATTGTACCATGTATAAAACTCTTTTCTCGGGGTCCACTTTCCACAAAACTTTTTTTATCACTTTCTGTATCCATCACTTTATTTTCCCATTCAAAAACAGCTACCTGTAAGTCAGTCCTACTTCCTTTTTCCTTAATAAAATGCAATTCCATTCTTCATACCTTTTTTACTAAAAACATACATCCTACTTTCCTTAAGCAACCATGAACTGTCCTTTATATCATCACTCTGTAGATTGGTAAACATACATCCAAAGAATAATTTTTGAAGAATGTGCTTTCTTATAGTAAATATCTCAGTCTGACACCAACACATTTTTTAATAGTTCCAAACCTTTTGTTTCTCTGTAAAAGGAAGCCAGTGTTCAGTAATTAATGTTTCAGTATCTTATTTTATTTGGAAATGGACTAGGTATTTAATAAACTTCCATCCTTTAACTTAATTTAGCACAACTCAATGTTTTAAGTTGTCGGCCATCTGGAGAGATTATTCTTAAGTAGACATTCCTAACACATAATTATTCCTAAAAAGTTCACCCAAAGCTCTTTCTCATTTGTATTTTCTTTTCGTAAAAGTTTCTTCATCTTGAATTATTTTCATTGCTGACAAATTTGCAGCAATGAGATAAGCTCTTATTTAGTTTATATTAAACCTAGGCACAATAAAAGTATTATACTTAATGTTGATGGCTCGAAAGACATGTCTATATTAATTAGATCAACAAACATAAACATTAACACCAGGTATTAATTTAATATTGAATATTTCCCAGTTCACATGAACCTGAAATTTATTTAGCTTAAATTTCTTGTTTTAGAATTGTTTGATTTGTAAGTGCTTACCTTTCTTTTAAGCCAATTAAATAGAGCTCACTTACAAATTAACCTCAGCAATATTATCCAAAGACAAAGACACATGCTGAGACATACACATATATCCAGACAGTCAGAGATCTCATTGTTTCCACTTGAGATTTAAAATGTCTCTTTGCCTTTTTTTCTTTTTTCTTGGCTTGAAGTTCTACTCATTAACCCAAGGCTGAAGTCTCAGGCAAAGTGCGCTGTGTTTGTAGCTCAAGGACATGATAAGAGTTAGCTTCAAACTTTTTCCTAGGGATATTTTTGTTCTCTGAGGGTCAGGATTCTGAAAAAAATATTTCAACAGGCTAGCTTTTCTAACTGCACATGCAAAAAGAACCCCTTTTGCAATTTCAAGAAAAGTTTTATTTTAACCAGTTTTCTCCGGAGTCTAAAGAATATTGTAGCCATCCTGACTGAAGGATCCTAACTTGTTTTGAATTTGGGAAATGTCAGACATGGGAAAGGGAACATGGACTCTAATAGTGTTCATGTCTCCATTTGCTACTTCCCTTAAGGGAAGCATATTAGAATCTGTTTCCTAGCGTTGGGCAGTCCTCCACCTTTTGTGGGGAGGGGAGAGGGGGCTTTCGCCCTGATAAGGAGGTGCCTGTTGGGGAGCTGTGGGTTGAGGCAGGGGCGGGGGCTGAAGCAAAGGGGGTTGATGGGGTGGGGGACAGGAAAGGTCGAGTAGAGGGTCGCCTAGGAGATCTGATGGAGAGGGAGACAGAGGGGGTCGGGAGGATAAGGCGGCAACAGAAAGGCACATGCGGCATGAGTCCCTTAGCTCCAGATTCTGACTAAGGGCCATAAAGGTCTGGACATGAGGAACCTCTGAGTCCTTTCCTTGTTTCCGACAAAAGAGATCAAGTTGGAGGATCGTGTTATAATTTAGTGTGCCATTAAGAGGCCATTGTTCTCGGTCCCCCAGTTTACACTGAGGCCAAGCCGTGTTACAAAAGAAAATGAGCCTCTTCTTTTTGAGATTTTTCAGGGTCAAATTTTTCCAGTTCCTGAGGATACAGCCGAGGGGTGAGTCTGAGGGAGGCTCCCAAGACGTACCAGAACCCATTCTTAGCCTGTATGCCGTAGAATGGGGGTACCGAGAGTCACCAGCTGACAGAAAGCGTCCCCTTTGTGCCAGTGATCTCTTCGTGTGACTAAGGCACAAAATGGGCTGGCCATCCCAACAATCGCGTCCGACTATGAGAGGTGACCCCTGAGCGTGCGACTAAGGCACCATGCGACTCGGGCAGGGAAAGAAAAGAGAGATTCCCAGGACCCACTGTTTGGCAATTCCCTGAAACGTGAAAAGGCACTCCTGGGATGGCTCAGAGGCAACACCTAGGCCCCTGTAAGTCAACCTGGACTGAGAAAAAGGTGAAAGTTAACAGAGAAGACAGGCTGAGGAATCTGCCTTGTAGTCCTGCCAGGAAGGCGGCGGCCAAGGGGAGGGGGCTCAGTGTTTTGCTTGAATCAATATGTACCCCATGGTGCACGGAAGTTGTCTTACTGGGGGGGGCAGAAGCTGTAACAGCCTTGGCTGTTCCGTGACCCCTCTTTCATGGGAGTCTTCAAGCAGCAGACACCCTAATGGCTTTTAAATGCCTGACCCGAGCCAGCACAGTACCAATCGGCCTAGTCCTTAGTCAGAAAGAAGACAGAGGGAACCTCACCCATTCTGGGCGGCAGTCACTGGGGCAAAGTGAGCCGTGGAGCCTTCAGAACACACCAGGGCGTGGCCCTGGCCAGAGTTCCTCTGCTGCTTCCCCCGCAGCTTGCCTGTTCACAGAGGGTCCCAAGAAATGAGGAGAGGAGGCTGGGGAGGAGATCCCCCAAGAGGTGTCCCCGTATGGGCCACCAAAATGTTGTGGTCCGAGCGCAGGTTGGAGGAAGAATTTCCAGACACAAAGTATTTTAGAAAACGGTGAGTTTATTGAGAACAAAGAGCAGAGCAGAGTTAGTGAGGGGCGCTGCCAATACAGCGGGCCAACTTCCCAATAGACCAGGGAGAGCCGACCCCCTTTGTGGGCTAGTAGCCAACTTTTATAGCCTCAAGACAAAGAAATTCCTGCTGGCAGGATGGCATTAGGTGATTGGTCAGGATGCTGCAAGGTTATGACATGGTGATCATTTTGCCTAATACGGAGCTGGGGGGCTGCCCGGTTTAGACTAGGAGAGCCCATGGCAACAGTTGCCATGGGGGTTTGGTTAGTTCCAGAATTTTTGTCCTGTGCCCTTGATGTAGGGCTCCACAGAAGCTATTAGTAGGTAGCTTATAGAAAAGGAAATATAAATGGCCCAACTTATGTTTTAAATGTTTATTCATTCATTAGAGGAATGCAATTAAAACTATCAAGACACCATTTTCCACGTGTCATACCGTCAAAAATCAGATAGCTTTGGTACCACATGGAAAGCTCTCACACACTGGTGGCTGTAACATCGGGAAGAGCCTCCTCTGTGGGGAGAAAACTTTCCCAACTGGCAGGATCGCTCATTAGCCACACACACCCTAACTGAGGAGCGCTGCTTCTGGGAACTCATCCTTCAGATTGCCTTGCAAGTAAGGAATAACCCACATTCGCCATTTATTGATGCAATGGCTATAACTGCAAAGGACTGGAAACAACCAAATATCCCTCCATCAAAAGGGGCCTGGTTAAATAGATTATCATAAAACCATATCCATGCAACCCTACACAAGAGTTCTTTCAGTAAGGCTCTGGAGCTCTTCAAAATAGTGAAGAAAATTAGAAACACACGGGAAACTGATGTTAAAGGCAGCCTCTGGAGAGGAAAGGGGGCAGCTGGGCTGGGGAATTTCACTGTATACTCTTTAGTACCTTCTGAATTTTGAACCATGTGAATTATTAGCTATTCAGAAAAAGAAACTTAAAATACTACACATATTGAGTCCTTCCATGTTATAAAAGTTTCTGGCTTAGCTCCCACTAATTGAGTTACTGTACTCTGTCCTGCGGTATATCCTGCCTCATGGAACATCAGAGATAAAACCTAGGGGCTCTGAGTCAGGTGGGGCTCTGCCCACTGCCAGCCCCGGAAAGGGAGAGAGACCTGTTAGGGTCAACCAGGCCTGCACTTCCCCCCCTCCGTCAACAGGTGGCGCTACAGGGCCTGCGGCCTGGGACAGATGGCAGTGGCTTGGGGAGCCCAGGAGCCTCGGGCTGCTGACCAAGAGGCAAAGAAGCAGGCAGACACAAATTAGTAACATAAAATAGAAACTAACTTTATTTCTCTGGAAGAAGCAGATATTCATAGCCGGGGCAGAAACTTTGGCAAGAGGCTGGTGGGAAAACAAAGAACAGCACAGAGGAAGAGCTGGGTCAGAGGAAGCACTGGTGTCCCTCCAGGGCAGCTGCCCCCTTGGTCTCCTTCCAACCCTGGGGCCTTGGGCCCTGGTCCCTGCCAGAGAACGATCTGGCACCCTAGCTCTGCTACCTGAGCCACCTCAGGCTATTTCCAGGCACAAGATCCTAACACCAGCCAAGTCCCATAACATGTCCATAGTGAGGCCACAAGTCACATTCTGTCCGACACCCCAACTGCCGCCAGGGGCTCCCTGGGGAGGGCCCCCGCCCCACGCCCTGGGTGCTGGTCCACCTTTCTGCATGGCCAACACATCCTCCCTGCCCGGGGTCAAGCCTGGCTTCCCCGCCGGCAGGGCCTGGCAACACATTTCAGCTACAGGCCCCACCAGGGACTGAAGCCAGAGGCAGGTCAGCCACAGGGCCTTCTGAGGCCACCCCCAGGCCTGCCTACAAGAGGCTCCCTCCTGCACCTTGGCTGGGTGCACTGAGAGCTCCGAAGTTGCAGGGACAGCGCTGGGTGAGGGAGGGACAGGCAAGGCGGGGCTCCCAGCCTCCTGCTGCCTTGGCCTCGCTCTGCCACTGGGGGCAGCAGGTGCAGCAGGTCCTCCAGGCCTGGCAGGGCGTCTCCCCACCCTCGTCAGATGGACAGGCTCAAATGATTCCTTCGGGGCAGATCCTCTGGGTCTCCAGACATCTCAGCGCCTAAAGGATGGGAAACCACCAGAAAGCCCTTCCATCAACAGGGGTCGCTGCAACAGAGTATGGAATGTCCAGTGTGGGCGGGTGCGAGAGGGGCCTCTCAGGGTCAGCCAAATCGGTTGAAAACTGGTGGTTCTAGGCACTAATTTTGGAATTTAGCATCCTGGGATGACTTCTTTAATAAACTAAGAATAAGACACCAGCAGTATCGTGTTTTAGAGTAACTGATGCAAATCAGTAAGAATAACCACGAGGTAATGGCCAACGTTCAGCGATGGCGTCCCACGGGCCAGACACTTGCTGTGCGGTGCATCCCTCATTAATTCTCCTAACCAGTTCTACGAGGTAGGCACTATCATTTACACACGTTTTACAGATGAGGACCCTGAGAGGTCAGGGAAGGAGCATAAGCGGACGCCACGTGGGATCAGAAGGCTGGGCTCCAGCTCCAGCTGTCTGCCGCCAGAGGAATCCGACACACCCACCCCGCCAGCGCCCCCCAGGGAAGGATTTCACTTTTTGACTTGATAAAACTTTCATTTGTACGTATTTATACTCTACATCAAGTATGTTATTTATATATCTATATATTGTGTTATATATACACGTACATATTTTTTATAGGAAAGTAATGGATTTTTTTTTGATTAGACATTCCTTTAAAAAGGCATTAAATCTTTGTTACTTTAAACTGAAATAGGAAATGAAGAGGTGAGAGAGATTTGTTTAAACCACTGGATCCTAAACTGCTGCTCACTGGAGCCCGGTCAGGAAGCAAGCCCCCTGCAACCAGAGAGGCTCCAATTCCTTTTACTCATTAGCTCGTTTGAACAAAGCGCCTGTGAAGTCTAGATAAACGTGCTTAGGAGAAGCTGTTTTCTCCGAGAACTGTCTGTGTCCTGGGATCGGGACCCCTTTCCCTCCTCCCGCCTGGAGCCCTGTGTCTGGCTGTGTGTGGCTGTGAGCTGTTGGCTTTTCCCAGAGTGACTGCTCCAGGACACCCCGGGGACAGGAAGGTGGCTGGGGCAAGGTCTGCTCACTTGTGGTGGGCTGGGCCGCAGGAGCCCAGCAGGTGGCAGCCAGCCTGCTCCAAGTTCCAGTCGAACATTTCCAGCACTTTGTGGCACTCGCCTCGCGGCCGCAGACCCAAACCAAAGAGCTGCTCCACCTGAGGAGCAGAGGGTGGTGCCGTGGGACACACTGGGGCCAAGGGGTACTGGACCAGGGCGGGACAGAGGAGAGTGAGGGTGGGGGCAGGGAGCGGGAGGGTTGGAGGAGAGCCGCAGAACCAGTCTTCAGGGTCCCTGAAAGCCAGAGTGGGCAGGAGGTGGTGGTACCTTCAGATACTGGGCAGCCCTCTGCACGCTCCAGCTGTGGCTCTGCAGGGCCGCCTGGCACTCCTCTGTGGTCACCCCATGCACCATGGCCTGCAGCTGGGCACACCCACCCACCCGTCAGCACCACTCGGGCCCCTTCCTCTGGGTCCCTCGTGCCCCTGCCCCTCCTCGCCCTGTTAGCCTGGCCCACTACTCACCATCTGGATCTTCTCTGCTGGCCGTCCAGCCTCTGGCCCGTCCCCGGGGCAGCCCCTCTGTGGCAGCCGAGCAGTGGCCCTCAGGGCTGGCAGCTGGGCCCCTGAGTTGCTGGTGTTGGTGGAGAAGTTAGCCTTGGGGTCTGGGGCAGCCTGAGGCATTGGTCGAACGGTGGCAGTGGGGGCAGCAGGAGCTGAGATGCCGGGAGGGGGCAGCAGCAGGGGCACAGGCACGGGGGTCGGCTCTTCGGGGCTCCGGGTCTCACGCAGGAAGCGCTGGTAGCGCTCCAGGTAGGGTGGGCGCTCAGGCAGCAGGTAGTAGTGGGTGCTGCTGACCTTCTTGCCATCACGGACGATGGGTAAGATGCAGGGGCCAGCCCGGGGGCCAGGTGCCTGGATCACCTGGGGTGTGGCATACTTGGGGTCTGAGGCGAAGCTCTGGGTGGTGGGCATGGTCTTCCCAGGTGAGCTGGAGAGCCGGGGTGGCAGCGGGGAGCTGCCGCGTGGCACCAAGGGGCTGGGGGTCCTGGAGCCTTGTGGGGACAGGGGCTCCCGGGGTGGTACCCGGGGAGGGGAGGCAGGTCCAGGCCACCGCCCCGTCTCCTCCTCGCCCGAGGGGGCTGGAGACAGCTCCCCACGTGGGCGTGTGGGCCTCGGGGGGATGGGCACACGAGGGGGCACCTGGGGCTTGTCGTCGCCCACTGGGCTTGGCGAGGGGACCAGAGAGCCGGCCGGGACCTGTAGCTGCCGCATGCACTCCTGCTGCAGCGCCTGGAAGATCTCTGCGGTCTGGGCTGAGTTGGGCGGCTTGCCCCCACCCTGAGGCGGGAGGAACAGGTTGTCCTCCAGGGCAGGGAAGAGCCGCGCTGGCTCAGGCACAAAGGCGTAATTGGTCTCGCTCTGACTGGGCCCAGCAGAGAGCCCTGCACTCACGAGGGTGCTGTTGATGGAGCAGACCTCAAAGTCATCCTCATCCTGGGCCACGTCATCGTAGGCAGGAGGCGGGGGCAGCGGGCGCGCATCCCAGTCCACCACCGGCGTGGGATGCAGGGGCCGGGGCAGGGCCCGCGAGGGGCTCTGCGGCGGGGTCTTGTCCAGCAAGGAGCAGGCATCCATGGCCAGCTGCGCCAGTGAGGGCGCACAGGGCCGTGGGGCCGGGACCGCGGGCTCCTCACCGAAGTCGATGAGCGTGACCTCACTGCTCCCGCGGCCCGCTTTGGTGCCTGGCACCCGGGCAGAGGGCTTCGCGAGCCACAGCCCACGGGGCAGTCCTGGCTTCCGCAGGCCCAGCCTCTTGAAGTCGCTGGACAGGGGGTCTTGGTCCTCACTCACAGGGTCGTAGGTTGGTTCTGCGATGGAAGGTAGACCCCAACAGGGAGGCGGCGTCAGGCAGGCCGATGGGAAAGGTGGGGTGTGGGGAAGACAGCCCACCAACTCCCCACTCCCAATTCCCCCAGAGGTCAGCCCTCAGCCGCCAGAATTCTCTGCACACCCAGACCCCATTCAACAGGAGGGCAGAACCTGTGCCAGTGGTTGGCAGCCCTCTATGGGGCCTGGCGAGCCCCTCCCTCCATTTCAGCTAGAGCAAGAACACCCCACACCTGCCTGCCTGACACTCCTCCATCAACACAAGATCCCATATACCCCGGCTCCTGAGCCCTGGTTAGTAATCCCTACCCCATTACGGCACACCATTAGTGCAGGCAGGGGGCTATGGGCCATCTCCCACCATCAAGGGCAATAGGAGCTATCCTTAGAGAGGACAGAGCTCCTGATCAACTGGCATAAAGCCCGGACACGGCCTCGGCAGGTCCCAAAGGAAGTGAGGCAGGGCCAGGCAACGGCGGACAGTGGCAGAGTGGGTGCCAGGACCACACTCTTGTTCCCGAAGCCCAGGCTTTTGGGGGTTGGGGGAGAGGCAGGCATGCCGGGCCAGGTCAGCGGCAAAAGCTCACAGCACACACCCACTTCCCCTCCCACCCCGGCCAGCTGGGGCTCTGTACCTTCCAGGAGGAGAGAAATGAGAGGAGAGAGGGGGCGGGGGCGGGGGCCAAGGCACCAAGAGCAGCCCCACTTACTCTGAGTGAAGATGGCAGGCTGAGGAGGGCGAGGTGGAGGTTCCCCTGCGAGAAAGGTCATGCGGAGAGTAGAGGGGGCAGAGCAAGGACAAGGGAGGGGAGACAGAGTCAGACAAGAGGGCAGAGTGTGGAGGGGGGAGGGGGGGAGGGGGGGGGGGAGAGAGAGAGAGAGAGAGAGAGAGAGAGAGAGAGAGATGTGAAAAGGGGCAAGTGAATGTACAAACCCAGCAGCAATGGGAAGCAATGGGGCGGCAGGATGGGAAAACTATGTTCCGGAGCGACAGGCCCTGGATCCGGGACGTGGATGAGGCTCCTGGCCAAGATGGAGCCTGTGGGGTGGTTTTGGCAGGAGAGGAGAGCAGGATTAGGGCGAGTGAGGAGAGCCAGGATCTGAGCACGGCGGGAAGGAGGAGGGAGGAGGGAAGCTGAGCAGGCAGGCCAGTGCGGGCCAGACCGAGGATGCCCACCTCGGCGGATACAGCTGCCTCTTGCCGTCCGCCCCACGCCCAGCCGGAGCCAGGGACACAGCTGTCCCCGTGCTGCCCTGACCCAGCCAGCTCGGGGTGGCCTGAGGAGACAGCATCCCTTCCCGGGCAGCTGATGAACTAGGGGACCAGGACTTGGGGGCCCTTACTTTTCACCCTGCCCAGATGCTGGGTGGGTCTGGAGGTGCTCAGTTCCACACTCAGCAGGTCGGGAGGGTCCATGGGGTTTCCCAGATACAGTCTGTGGGGAGAGACGCAGGTCAGAGATGGGTAAGGGTGTGGGGCGGCGGCAGTGAGGGCACCCTGGAGGAGGTGCTGGGCCTGTCCCCTGGGGTCAGGCAGAGGACAGAACCACGTCATCCAAGCCCCTTGCAGACGCAGGCCTGGAGCCCAGGACTTCTGACCCTGGTAGCTCCCTTCTGTAGATCTAGCAGGAACCAGGGGAGGGTACAGTGGAGAGGGGGCAGAGAAAGAACTCCTGACTGTAGGCTGAAAAACCTAGGACTGTAGGAGCTCCAAGGACACCCCAAAAGGGCAGAGCTGGCCCTCTGTAACCCCAGGGCACCCCAACCCATGCCCAGCAGCCACCTGCTGGCACACTCTCTTCTCTCCTGCCAGGCCCTGAGGCGTCTGGGCCACACTGCCCCAGCCAGGGTGGACAGGAGGCATCCTTCTGCCCCACTGCCAGGAGGTAGGGTATGGGCCGGGCTACTGCCACGCTCCCAATTCACCTGCAACCCCTGTGCCAACTCTCAGCATCTGGGACGTAGTCACTGGGACTGATTAAAGCCCAGAGGAATGGGGCTGGGCTGGCCATGGCACGCCAGGAGCAGGGCAGAGGGTGCCGGGCCGCCTTCTGGAAGGTGTCTGCCTTCTCCGGCCCCAGCTCTCTCAGGCCCTTGCCTGGCTCCTGTGAGGCAAGAGACGGGCACCCTCCCAGGGCTCAGCGTTCTGGTGTGCAGGGCAGGGGGTGAAGGGCCTGCTGCGCCACGCCCCCGGGGCAGAAGCCTGTCAGAAATCAGAGGGGAGAGCGCTGCCCGGAAGCCCCGTGCTGCCAGCACAGAGGCTCGGAGGCCCAGCAGGAGGAGCTCCAAGTGGCACCCTCGGGCGGGGCCCCCAGGAAGTGACTAATTCTCCTGTGTATCCTCCCCAGATGCCCCCCACCCCATGACCTCGTCTTTTCACTTAAAGGAGGCTGAACCCCCCTCCCAGGTACAGAGTGAGCAGGCAGGTGGGCACTCTGAAGTTTCCCCGTAGGGAGCTTTTTCTGCACCTTGCACCCCTGGGCCTGAGCCAGCAGCTCCCATCTCCAGGACTCAGGTCCTACCAGCAGGAGCAGGGAAACTGCCACCCAAGTGCTGGGGCTCATGAGCAGCTTTCCTACTGAACTGCTTCCAAAGGCTGTTCCCAAGTCCATGCTCCTAAAGCCAGTTTGCCAGGGGGGCTTAAGGTGTGGACCCTGGAGGCCATTTATCCTTTGAAGCTCCAACCCCAGTTCTGCCGACAAGGAAAAGCTGCTGAACAAGACCCTTGGCCCACGGCTGTAACTGGGACCTTGGAGGCCTGGAGAGCCTGCATGCCCAGAGAGGGGCTGCTGGCCCTGGAGCCCCCAGGCGGGACCCTGCCAGTACTCACTCATCGATCCTGTCAGGGAAGCCCCAGCAGTGCCGGGGGTCACTGTCACCATGCCCTGTGTGAATGAAGCTGTTCTGCAGGGGCTGGCTGATGTCCTGGGCTGACAGGCCGGCCACAGAGGTTACCACGTTGCGAGGGAAGGGCCCCACGCACAGCGTCCGTGTGTTCTGCCCACGCCACCAGTAATTCTCAGCCCTGTGCAACAGAGGTGACATGGTGAACACCAGGGAGTGGTGGGACAGTCCCAAGGACTGGGACCCTTTTTACACCAAGCTCTCTTTAGCTGTGGTATCTGGCCACCTTGGCAGAAGGGAGCACAAGGGCTAAGGGCCCAGGATCAGAGTAGCCTGCCACCAGTCCACCTCCTCCCAGCAGCCCCCCAGGACCTGCCACTCACCCAGTACAGGGCCTGGTATTTGCACGCAGCCTTACCCTAAGTGCCCTAGGTGGGTCAGACAGCTTTTCCTACAGTTTACAAATACGGAAACAGGTTCAAACAAGTGACATGACTTGCCTACAGTTACCAGAAAGAGTACAGCAGATCCAGGATTCAAACACAGTTGTTAATCTGTGAAGCCAGCGCCCTTCTCACAATACCACCTTGCCGCCCTCCTCGCCTAAGCCCTAGTCCTCTCCTAGCCACCCGATCTCACTCTTCAACCCAGTTCCAGGAGTTCTGAGCTACAACGGCCCAAGGGAGAACCGTGGCCTTAGGACTGGGCTTGGGGCCAAGCCCTCCTACCACAATCCCATCTCCTGCAGTCAGCCCTCCAAGTTTTGGAAGCACCTGGGGCAACCCACGCTATCACATCACCAGTTTACACATCTCCAGTGCCTTCCACCACCTCCTGCCAGGACCGTGGGACCCCCACTCGGGCCCCCATCCACCTCCTTGGGAGGAGAGCTCCACTCTTGTCTTCAGCAAGGGATCCAGAAGGGAACCCAGCCTCCCAGCGTGGCTGGACTATGGGACCACCAGCCCCTCGCTCTGACCTCAGACACAGAATCTGTTGGCACAGCCTAAGTCCAGGCCTGGGGTGGGGGTGGGGGTGGGAGCCGGGCCAGGTGGGCAAGAAAGAACAGAGTGCCCTCCTGGACGCTTCCAATGCCCCAAATCCAACAGGCCACGAGGCCCCTGCATCTGCTGGGATCACGCACACCTGAGGACAGGCACAGAAGCTGGGCTAAGGCAGGGGTGGTGACAGCCTCATGCTGCTGCTGCAGCCGACGTGTGTGGCGCCAAGCTGCGTCCGCTCACTGTCAGCCCCCCACCTGTACATCGCCTGTCCACAGCGGGAGCACAAAGAAAGGCTTCCTCCAAGCTGCAGCCAGACCAGAGGGGTTGGGGGAGGTGGAGGCTGGAAGGAGGCAGTGAGGCCCGAACACCTGGACCCCCCTCCGCGAGGTGATGTGGCCACTGGGCCAGTGTGACCCCCAAAGAGCCTGTCCCAGAGACCTAACGTCGAACCCCACAAACACTGCAATCCTTGGGGAGCCAAGAGGCGTGGAGGGGGAGGGATGAGTGCCCAGCCTCCTTGTCAGCAAGGCTGCTGACCAGCCACCACAGACACAGCAGCCCTGTGATTACCACCAGCCCCCCTGGGTGGGAAGGGCAGGAAAGGAAGGAAGAAGGGAGGACAACACCCGGAAGGGACAAAGCCCATCCAAAAATAGCAGGGCCATTCCAAAGAGAGAAACGTCTCCTCCCACCCACACCCCCAGGCCGGCTGAGGCCAAGGAGGCAGGGTGGGGAGCCCCTGGCCCCCAGACCCCGATGCTGCTCTCACCCAACACCCAGGGGCCCCCTGGGTCCCACGTGCCCCTCCACGGAACAGGCTCAGACACCAAGCCCATGGCTGGACGCTAGACTCTGCTCTCCACACCTCTTCAGAGATGCTCGTTAACTGAGGTGGAGAAGCAGTGCAGAGTGGAACAGACTCGCGTCCAAGGCCAGGTTTATGCCGTGACCACACCCTCCCAGTGGATCCTGAGCAAGACCAGATGGGCAGGAGGTCACTCCCTCTGCTCCCTTCCTTTTGCTAACCGACCCTCACTCGGAAGCCTCCTCTGGACCCACTTCTGAGAGCAAGAGCAGAGCCAAGCCTACCTCTCTGTTACAGGTATGGCCAAGGCTAGAGCCAGGCCCAGAAGGAAGGGCTCCCTTTATCACTGCTGGGAGTCCTCACATCAAGTCTCAAAAAAGGAGGTGGGAGGTGAGGGGCAGGAGGCACGACAGCCCTTGCTACTGGGGAAGGAGAGTGGGGAGTGCAGAGTATGTATAAGAAAGACCCCCTTGGGAATGACATCCCAAGCACGGAAGCAGCTTCCTCCCAACGAGGGTCAATTATAACTCCCGAGATGGCCAACGTTACGTCACGCTGCCCACTGGTCCCCCTCCAAGGCTCAGTGGGGCGGAGATACCAGCAGCCCAGAGAGGACCAGACCAGCCCTTCCCACCCAGCCTGCTCTGGCCACACCTCCCTTCCCCTTCCAAGAACAGCCCAGAGACTCCATGGCAAGTGGAGGGCACAGTCCCCGCAGCAAAGACAGGCACCTCCAGCAGGCTGCCCGACAGCATCCTGGGACAGGCAAGATGTGAAGCAGCACCTGGCAAACACCGAAGGCTGCCCCAGCTCTCCTGGGGACCAGCCTCTGGAAACCTCAGCCCATTAGCCCAGTTCTGGCTTAGGCAGCCCAGAAATGGCTGACAAATGTGGCTTAAACATTCTGCTCAAAACACCACCCCACGCACTTCTCTCCAGGTGTCCCCGGCAGCCCCTGGCCTTGAGGGACAACACACCCCCTTTGCTTCCCCCTCTCCCACCCACCACAGGAAGCAAAGGCTCCAGGGACCAGGCCAGGCCAAGGACCTACACATGGATTTCAAAATCTCTGTCCCCCTTCTCTGGTTTGTGAAAACAGAACATCAAAGTTCTGTCAGCCATCCCAGCCTCCAAAGAAGACCCCCTGGAAAAGAGTGGTCATCATCTGTCCCTCACAGTCTAGACAGAGCCTCGCAAGCTTGGCTCACAGGACATCTGGTGTCCTCTCTCTGCCCGCCGCCTGGTACCCCGAGAAGCCCTGAGTCTAAAGAATCAGTCAGAGCCAGGGGCAAGGGTGCTCCGGACTCTGGCTAGCAGACAGCTTCTGCAAGAAGAAATCCCAGTCTAACAGAAGAGCACAGATACGAGACAGCTGAGAGCCAGGCTGCTAAAGGAAGATGGAGAAACAGACTGAGACCCACACGTACAAACCCAGACCCAAAGGGACACCCACGAACAGAGCCCACCCACCCGGAGACACGGAGACAGAGCCAGACAAACACACACACTTGGGGCACCAAGGAAACAAGGGGGCATTTAAAGCTCTGGTACCACCGACACACAGGCCCACTCCCAAAGCCTCACCGGCTGTCATGCCTCCTGCCCCTCACCTCCCACCTCCTGAGTAGCTCCAGGGACCTGCGGCAGGCACTGTGGTCCAAGTCGGCCGGTGGCCCTGGAGGAAGAACCCAGCAAGCCCACACTGGCAGGCAGTGGCGGTGGAGCCAGCAGATGGGCCAACCCAAGCCTGTGATGAAAGGGCGGGGCAGGGCCCGCCCACGGTGGCCTCCCAGGAGGAGCGGCTCCCCTCTCCCCTCCTGTTCCCCGCCTCACCCCAGTGGTGACCCAGGTTGCCAGCTCCAGAGACAAACGCCCCAGAAACACACAAAGCCCCTGAGTCACCCCTACTGAGAGCAAGGGATGAGGGAAGTAAAGACCTGGGGACTAGAGGGCACAAGAGGGCTCAGGTCCAGGGCCCTCTGGCTCCTGGAGGTGGGAATGGCTGTAGGCTCAGATTCTAGCTGAAGGTCCTGCCATGCACCTCCAGAAGGGCCCCCAGCCTAATCTTCCTATTTCCAGAATGCTCCCCAGACTGCCACGCCTGCATTCCCTTCCCTGGCCCCTTAGCTCCAAACCACAGACTACGTATTCCTTCCTGTCCTCCAGGCTTCTCTCCTAGCAGCTTTCTAGCTTTCTGTCCACCACCACTAACTCCCCAACCATACCTCCCCCCGCCCAACTTGCTAGGATGTCATTCTTAATTCACAGATACTGGGCCCGAACGTGAGGGGAGCCCCAGCCTGAGGAGGAGATGCTGGGGCCACAGCGCGTGCGGGCCATGCTCCCCCACAGCCAGCCTGGGCTCCAGGGCCTACCCTGTCAGTCTGACTCAGACCCAGAAACACTCCCTCTCAACAACCCACCATGAGGCACAAGGTTTATCCAAAGGTCCCAGACCCCCAAACCTGAAGTCCAGGTAGGAAGGGCTCCGTGGGAAGTCCCTGCCTGGCTCTGAGTCAGAGGGGCTGGGAGTGCGGGGGATTTCCTCTGCCTCGCTCCTCTTCCGGGTCCTCCGTGCTCACCCCCTACCCCAAAGGCACCACTAGCCTGCCCCACCGCAACCAGCTTCTCAGACACCCTGGGGATGAGATAACAGAGGGTGGCCTGAGCGGTAGGGGGGCCTCCACAGCAGGCAGGCTTGAACTTTGGGGGCTCCAGGTGGGAGACCTGACTCAGGAGAGGCTGCCTGCAGGCAGACACTTGTTGCCAGGTGTGAGGGGGATTGAGGGGGCAGGAATAGAGACCCTGTGAGGGCAGCCCGGGGACAAAATGGCCAGGTGGGAGGCCCAGCAGAGGACGGAGGAGAGCCCTGGGAAGGCAGAGGCTGCCAGGAAGAGGCAGGGCTGCTTGGGGCTACTGAAGGGCACCCAGGTGGGAGTCCAGAGTCCTTATCCTGGGAGGAGAGGGAAGAGGTGGGGCAGGGGAGGATAAGAGGAGGAATGTCCAGGAGTCCCAGCTGGGCCCCGAGGCCAGGCTGCTCCACTTCCTACACCCCACCATTACGGCAGTGAGGCCCCAACCGACAGAGCCAGCACTGGAGCCTGGTGGGAAAAGGGTGACAGAGGAGACGCTAGGCAGGGAAACCCCCCTGCGAGCCACCGCACCTGCATACTTAACCCCAAGCACTCAGGAGGACGCAGGCCTGCCCTCCCCTCTTGCTGCAGGAGCCCTGAGAGGGGCTGTTGCCATGGGGACCTGAGAGGCAGAAAGGCTCTGGGCCCCAGGCCCAACCAGTCTGCGCCCTTCACGGCGGTGCAGGCACAGCCCCCGCGCTCCCTACCTCCCCTCAATGACGGTGATGACATCGTTCATCTGGATGTGCAGCTTGTCTGGTTCCTCAAAGTCCTGAAGGGCCCGCATGTCAGTGGGCTGGGCCTGGGGGCAGAGACAGGTCACTAACCACCTCAGGCTGACACCTGCTCGATATCCCTGCCCCCGGGGGCAGATCTGCCCTCACCTCCAGCAGGAAGTCTCTCAGTGCCACAAAGGTGGGTCTGTCCTCTGGCTTGTGAGCCCAGCACTGAACCATGACATTGTAGATGTCCTGGGGGCAGTCCTCGGGCCGGGGCAGACGCTCCCCCTCCTTGTCAATCTTATGCAGGATCTGGTGGTGGGGAGGTGCAGTTTGAGGACAAGCAGAGCACCCGGCTCTTCACCGCTCATCTTCCCCCCAGCCCACGGAACAGCTGGAACTGCTGGCCGCCATGCCTGTACCCCAAAGAAGAGCTCTGCCTGCACCCTGGGCCTCTGACCCTTACGCCTAGGTCTGGGGCCTCTGAACAGGGGGCCGTGGCAAAGGAGGACTGCGAAAAAGCCCAGGCCGGTCTGTTCCTGACCACTGGGGGCCGTGCTCTTTGCTCAGCTTACCTGAGGGTGTCAGGCAGACACAGGGCAAGGGAGACAGGGATTCCAACAGGTAGGAGCCAGTTCCAACAGGGCCAGGTTGGGAGACAAGGATCAAATCAACCCCCAGCCACGCTGTGGGGAGCACAGCCCCAGCCCCCTCACCTGACTGCCATTGAGGCCAATCCAGGGCTCCTGGCCATAGGTGAACATCTCCCACAGCGTGACCCCAAACATCCAGGTGTCGCTGGCATGGGAGAAGGTGCGAGTCTTCAGGCTCTCAGGGGCACACCTGGCAGAGGCAGGGGTCAAGCAGAAGGCCTCTCAGAGCACCCCCACCCCCTGCATCAGCGCCAGTGGACCCCAAATGCTCATGCACAAGTGTGCCGTTGCCCCGCATGCCCAGGTTCACAGTAGGTACTGGGGGCGCAGTGTGAAGTTAAGGACTTCTTAACTACGGGGTGCACAGACTTGGACAAGATTGTCTCTGCTCAGGTCTTTTTTCCACACGCGGCCTGGGGTGGGGAGAGGAGGATGTTCCCATGTCAGGGAAAGGAAGAAGGTCAGCAGCTCCAGAAGGGGCAAAAAGTGGGGTGGGATAAGATCTCAGGCTGTTTTCTAATTGTGGTGGGAGGATGACAATTTCCAGATTTGGGGCAGGATCCTAGGATTTAGGTCATTTCAGCAGGAAGGTGTGGGTGGGAAATCTGGATAGGGCCTGGGGAAGAACCAAAATGGGTGGGAACAGTCACAGTCGCTTTCCTCATCCCACACACTCTCTGGAGCTCCCTCTTGGGTAAGGAAGAAAAATGGCACTGCAGGGAAGCTAACAAAGGGTATTCATTCCACGGTGGACTGAGGCATGGGGAGTGAGGAGGAAGCCGCCCTCGATGGAGAATCAGAGATACCTCATGGGACTGGAGAGCTGGCCCTGCCACTCAAAGGGCGTGGGACCCAGGGAAAGTTACCCAAGAGCTCTAAGCCCCACGTTCCTCATCTGTGAAATGGGAATAACAATAATCTGCTCACTTCACAGGATTGTTTTAAGAGGGCTGCATAAAAAAAGGTGACCTTATAATTTACCATTCAAACCAGGACGCCTGAGTATGAAAGGAGGTGCTATTAATTACTCCAGGACATCAGGCATGATCCAGGATGTGTGATCATCCTAGATATTAAGTTAGTAATTAATTAGGGGTGACCGTACATCCTGGATTAGAGGGTTTTCTGGCAACCAGAACTGGACCGACTCCTCCCACGCCAAAGCAAGGAGATGACACTCCTTCAGGAGCCTCTGACAGCAGAGGATCATGATGGTCTCAGCACACGATAAGCTCACACAGGGGCCAGGGCAGGGTCAGGTACCACCCCAGTGTGCAGGTGAACATCCCTCGTCAGTCTACAAGGCCCTGCCTGCCCCCAGCTCTACCTGGGACACGCTTAGCAGCCAGTCTCTGCCTGGCTAACTTCTCCTGGTATTTCAGGAGCTTAAAACTGCGTCTTCCAGGAAGCCTTAATGTGTCCCACAGCACTTATCCCTGTGCACCCTAGCACCTGGCACGTGGGCCCCTGAGAATTACTGGATGGATACGTGAATGGATGGGCACACAACAAGGGCACCCCAGGCCCAGAAGAGACAAGGGCTGGTGGGTGCATGGAAGGCCCTGGAAGCTCTGAAGCCTGGGTGTGTAGGGACCGGGTGTGGGGGGGTGGTCCAGGCCCCGCGAGCCGGCAGCGCCTGCCCCTCACCAGGCAAAGGGCACTTTGCGGTGCTCCTGCATGACGTAGTGGTCGTCATTCTGGGGTAGTGCTCGCATCAGCCCGAAGTCCCCGATCTTGACCAGGTCACGGGTGGCCAACAGCAGATTGCGGGCGGCCAGGTCACGGTGAATAAAGCGCTTGGACTCCAGGTAGCCCATGCCCTCAGCCACCTGCACAGCGTAGCGGCTCAGGGTACCCAGGAGGAAGTGGCCCTGGTGCTTGCGCAGCCGATCCAACAACGATCCCAGAGGTGCCAGCTCTGTCACCTGAGGCCACGGAGGAGGAAGGAGGAATAAGCACGGCTGAGCCCTGCTCCTCCCTCAGCTCCTCCCCTCAAGGCCTGCCAGAGCCGTGCTCCATGCTCCTCCCTGGCCTGTCCTCCAGGGACCTCTAGGAATCCTACAGCTTCCCAAGCCTCTCCCCTCTAGGGAACATGGGAAACCGAGGCCCAGAAGAGCAACCCAAAGAGGCTCAGGTTAGCAAATGCCAAACACTAAACTCTGGGACCGGCCCCTCCCATGGGTGCAACGCTCTGCCAGTGAACACAAGCCAAACCCAGAGAGACGGAAGTGAGCTCCAGCGGACACCAGGGTCGGTCAGTACTGGGGCAGGCCTGTGAGCCCCCTTGCCACATCAGGTGGGGGACCAAAGCAGGATCTGGAGGACCTCTGACCTTCGTCAGGATGGAGGGAGTAACCACAGCACAGGCAGGAGGTGAGGGGCACAGGGTCTTCCCTGCCGCCATCCCCCTTCTGCCCACAGCACTCACCATCTTCATGGGCGGCGTGAGCACCACACCATAGAGGCGAATGAGGTTTCGGTGGTCAAGCGAGTGCATGGCATTGACCTCCCGGATGAAGTCATCCATGGCCTCTGGCTGGCTCAGCACATCAGGCTTCAGGCACTTCACAGCCACACTCACCTGGCCAGAGTGGGGACTGCAGAGAGTCAGGACAGGCCCCAGCCTCCACACTCCGGGCTAGCCTACTCCCCACTCCAGCCTCAGACCTGCTCATCGGGTGAGTGAGTGTGTCCCAGGGGCCTGTGGCCTGGCAGGGGGAGGGCAGCTTACCCCAACAGCCATGAGCCGGGCCTCCCCTTCCTGCGGGAGTGCCCAAGTTAAGTGGCAACCGCAAGGTAAGAGATGACCGGTGCAATGACGGAATATTAAAATGTTATGATAAGAAATGTTTTTGGTATAGAAGGAAAATGCTTTAAATATAATGCCATAAAACTAATCTGTGGTGACAGAAATCAAAAGAGTGGCTTCCCTTGAAGGGAGGTGATACTCAGTGGAAGAGGCATGAGGGAGCCTTCTCGGATGACAGAGATGTTCCACACCAGTGGTCTCCAACCTTTTTGGCCCCAGGGACGGGTTCGTGGAAGACGGTTTTTCCACAGACTGGGATGGGGCGGGGCTGGATATGAGGGTTCAGGCGCTAACGCGAGCGATGGGGAACGGCAGATGAAGCTCGCTCAATTGCCCACCACTCACCTCCTGCTGTGCGGCCCGGTTCCTAACAGGCTGTGGACCGGTCTCGGTCCACGGCCCGGGGGCTGGAGACCCCTGTTCTACAACACAATCTGGGCAGTGGTCACACGGGCCCATGCATATGTGAAAAGTCACTGAGCTGTACACTCAAGAACTGTACGCTTTACTGCACACACGCTATCTTTCCCTCCGGGGAAAATTTTTTAAATACAATACTAAGATAAAAGGGCAAGCGTTAAAAAGTTGTATCTAAAATTTGTATCTTAAAGAAATTCAACAAAATGTCTGAAGGGGAAAAAAGGTGTAAGTGCTAACTCTGCTTCCTCTGAGTGGTGGGTTACAGGCTTTTTTTTGTTTTTCTTATTTTTAAGTCTCCAAACTTTTATGATCATTAGTTTTATAACTGAAAAAAGGAACATGTGTCTAGTTAACCCTGAGCACGGACTCCAGGGTGAGCCACTTTGGACCTGTCCCCAGCCCCCTTCACATCCCAGCAGAGGGGACAGATCCGCCTCAGAGAGCAGAGCAGGGCCTGCCACGCCCCACAGGACCCAGAGAGCTCACCGTCTTCCCCGAGGGGGCGTCCCACTCGCCCCTGCGCACCACGCCAAAGGAGCCATCTCCCAGCTTCTCAAAGAGATGCAGGTCCTTCTCCCCAATGAGGCAGGTGAGGCTCTGCAGGGACCCCTCTGCTGCTGGGCCTCCGGGGGTGGGTGAGGTCTTCCGGAAGGTGCTCTGAGAGTGATGAGGGGGGAACTCAGCCTCCAGCCGCTTTCCACTGAACACCTGTTTGAAGGCAGCCAGGGGCCAGATGGAACCCTGAGGCCCCAGAGCCAGTCATTCAGCCCTGCCCCACTGGGTCCTTGGCGAGGCCGCCAGACAGGTCGTGGCTTTGCCAAACTTCTGGGGGGCGGCCTGGCTGGAGGCCCACGCCCCCTCCTGACCACACCTCCAAACGGGCACCCACGGCCTCGGTGTGGCCTCGGGCTGCAGTCCCACCCCCAGCTGTGGGGTCAGGGATAGCCCAAAGCCCGGCACCACCTCTGCCCCCCTCCCTGCTCTGTACCCCTACCCAGCACAGACTCCAGCCCCTCACCCGAGCAGATGGGCAGGAGCCCTAGGGGCCCTTGCAAACACCTCCTGTCCATTTTTAGCCCTGGCCCCGTCTCTGGGTTGCCCATTTGGCGCTGTCTGTCTCCACCCTCCCCAGGGAGTCGGCTGCTCTTCATCCTGCCTGGGGAGAGGATAATTTGAGCCTGAGGTTGGACCGTGAGTGTGTATGGGGGTGCAGATGAAGCAAGGCCTTGCCGGGGAAGGGCCTGGGAAGACAGCTGGGCTTCTGGAGGGAGGCCTAGAGCTGAGGGCTCAGAAAGAAGGAAGGTTGGAGAGGACTCTGCGGCCTGGGCTGGAGAGGGAAGGGGCCAAGGGTCAGGGGACAGGAGGGAAGCCCTGAGAGTCAGAGCGGCCCTGTCCGTTTGACTTGGCCACCCTACCGGGGCATGCAAAGCCTCGGCTTCAGGCGGCACCCTCTGCCCAGTTGGTCCCTGCCCCCAAGGTCGGCAGAGCCTTGTCTGTGTGGGGTGAAGGGGTCTCCAGTCTGAGGGCCTCTTCTGGCCACTGCTCCGTCCTTCCTCCCAGCAACTGGCATCCCTTCCATTTGCAAGCAGTGTTCAGCTGACAAGGTCCTTCACAGCCTTTTTCTCAAGGGACCCTCCCCAAGGCCCCGTGAGGTGAGCTGGGCAAGTGCGGCTGGCACTGTCTTGCTGGCCACATGCCTCAAGTCTGGAGCGGTCAACCGACTGGCCCGGGGACATCCCGTGAGTCGGTGGTAGCTCCAAGGCCCCCTGAATCCTGCACACCGCGTGGCTCTTCCCTCCTGCCTTCGCCCGCCCCAACACACCCATCCTCCCCTAAAACCTGGGCAAGGGACCAGGACAGTGTCCCCAGAAAAGGCCACAGGATCCCAAGAGACAGCCCCTTGCCAGATCACAGCCAGGAAATCTCTGCGGCCCAATCCCAGATCCAGCTGTTCTGCACTGCCCGCCCCTCTCCCCAGCCCTGAGGCCAGAAGTGGGGGGAAGGCCCGGCTGGTTCACTTCCTCTCACATTGTCTTCCAGACAATGGGCAAAGTTCCCCTGAGTCAGACCTGGGACTCACCACTCCAGAGACCCAAATTAGGGCAACGGGGTGGGGGCGGGCCTTAGGGAAGGAAGCTGTCAGTGGGGCCCAGTGACCAGAGAAACCTTCCACAGACTAGGGAGGTGCGGGATGAGGGAAGCAAAGACGTCCTGGGTCCAGACGGTCCCACCGCCCCACACTGGACACCGGCCCCAACACTTAGGCAAAGCGAGGGCTCAAGTTACAGCACACTTGTCAACAAGCGCCTGTTCCATGCCTGGCACCACTGCCTGGCGGGAGGGGACGTGAAGCCAAGGCTACACACAGGCCATTCAGTGCCGTCTCCAGCGGAGACAGACGCTTAGCCAGGCAGCTCTACAAGCACCCTGCCCGATAAGACCCCGGAGGTGGGAGGTCTGTACAAACTGTGAGATTATACTGCGGGGAGTGGGGGAAGGCTCTCAGGATGACAACAGAGGAGGCCCCAGTGAGCTACCCCTCCCACGTCCCTCCCTGTCCACCCACCTTGCTCATCCAGGACTTGCGTTTGCACATGGCCTTCCTCCTCTTCACAGCCTCCCACAGCCGCCGCTGGCCTGCGGGGAGGAAGGGGAACCCGTGCTGTTAAGGCGCTCACACCCCCAAGAGGCTGCTGCCCATCGCAGGCTTCCTCGGTCACCCTGGGGGGAGTCCACCACTAGACACTGCCCAGCACGATGACACCAAGGAAACAAGCCATTCCCACCAACCAGGGGCTGCCATTAACCAGATGGTCACTGCATTCCACTTCTAGGCAATTCTTCTCGAACCGGATGGAGGTATTTAACCACCAAAATTGAACAGTAGTGCTCTTATGCCAACTCTCAAGAAAAAATAAATAAATCAAGGTAACGGACAGAATTTCCCCAATTTTGAGTTTTTCTCCCATAAAATTTTATTATGTTACTGGCATCAGATATCAACTCTCTAGGCTAAAAGCAGCGTAAGTCAGTGTCTAAATTAGCACACCATTACTTATTTAGCTATTTCAGGCTGAATGCACTCAAAAGTTTCTAATGTTCTACAAGGAACACCGTGACTTCTAGAAGCTATAGTCACTACTTTCAGGATAAACACATAGAAAAAAAAAAAAGAGTTCAACTTATAGAATAGATCTTTGTAGGAGAGACAGAGAAAGGGAGAGATGGGGAGAAGAGCAGCAAACCAACATCTGAAGGATTTTATCTTCCCTTCTCCACAGACCTCTGGACACTAACCCCCCTGGTGTTCAGAACAGACTCAATTCTACATTTATAAAAGAGGAGGAGATGGAAGAAATACACCCTAGAAATGTCTGCACAAACAAAACAGAGTGTGTAGTTAATCCTGAGTAGCCAGAAATTTAAGTAAGATTCCTCAAACTCCAATTCACCTTCACGACTGCAAACTGCTCTCATGCACTCACTGTGTGCAGCATCTACTGATGCCCCTCTGCCCCACCGCGGGGGCTCTTGGACAGGCAGTGAGAGTTCTCAGTTCTGCCACCCCACGGAATAAAGGGGGGAGGGCTCTTCCATGCGGTTGCCGATCCTGAGGACAGAGGAGGTAAATGGTCAGTGGGGCGACGACAGGCAAGGCCAATGCCCCCACCTACCAGGCCGGCCCATGCCAATCTTCTCCAGGTCCTCATTCTTGACATACTCAAAGTGGGACAGGCGGGTAACGTTGAGGTCGTCGCGGAGCCGCAGGAAATACTGCTGCAGCTGCACCTCGGACAGCAGCTCCAGCAGCCAGCCTGTGCCCTCCTCCGGCTGCATGCTGCTGCTCCCCAGCCTCTGCGGGGAGAGAAGAATGGCTCAGGGACCACGGGATGCAGGCAGGTAACCGGCGACCCCGCCTCTGCCTTGGGCTCACCCACATCCTACTATGTGCTGTGGGGAAGGACTCACACCACCTTCTTGCTCCCCAAAACAGCTGTACAGAAGAGCCTGTAGCCACCTGTTCTCCTCCTATGGCAACAAGGGTAGAATCAGGGCAGTTGGGACACAGCCCAGGCCCTGGAGTTAGGGTCTTACTCCCCAAATCTGCCATCCATGGCCGAGTGAACTGAGATCAAACTCTGTTCTCCGGTTCCCCACTGGCTCTTCAACGCTCCTGTTGTCACAAGGCCTTTGAGAATCTGATGAAAACTATCGAGTGTGTCTCCAGGAAAATAGATGCATCCTTATTCATAACGTTTTAATTACAAAACTTTTGGGGGTGCAGTGCCCCTTGAGACCCATCCATGAGCTCCCCAGACCTGATGGACCCCCCAGGGACTAGATGAGCTCTAGCTACTTTCCTCTCAGTGCCTGACATCGCATGAGCCTCCCCCCAGGTCCAAAGACCCCTCCGCAGGCCAGCACACAAACACCTCCAGGACCACAGGAGGGTCAGAGGGAAGGAGCGGCAGAGGCTGGGGCGGGCTTTCAGACTGCTGTCAACGGCTGTCACAACAGACTCTGGCCCAGTGTGGTCAAAGCTTTCAACTTTTTCAAGAAATACCAGAAATCTGAATCGACGTGTAAAATCTCGCTATTAAAATTTTTTTTGAAAAGGTACTATACGCACACGTAAGATATTCAAAAGGCACACGAGAGCCGTAAAGTCTCCTCCCTCTCTTGCCCCACCCCCAAAGTCGGCTGCCATTCATGGCTTTTACACGTTCTTCCAGACTTGTTTTTTCCCCACACAAATACTCACCCATTACCCACACCATTCTGTTCCTTGTTTACACTTGACATTAGATCTTTCTCCTGACTTTTGAACTATGTCAACTAATTCAAGTTTGAAATACACACACGCAAGCACACGTGTATGCTGTGCTGGTCAAACAAAATTACATGCAGGCCTCAATCAGCCAAGGGGCCACCAGACCTTTCTCTGGGGCCCAGAGAAAGAAGCCAGTGGCACCCTCAAAGCTAGGCAGCCCTACACTAAACCCATCCTTGTCCGAGTAAGACCCGTCAGAGCTGAGGGCTTGGCCAGCCCCTGACCCGTGTTCAATCCCCACTGGAGAAGACAGGGATGAGGGAAAAGGCCAGCTGCCCCAAGACCCCCTCCTCCCGACTTGGAGGTGGCCTTGTCCCCCAGCGCTCATCACAGGTCGCACTAAGAGAGCAGGTGCTCACAGCCTGGGACCAGCATGAGCCTCCTGCTCTCACAGTTCCCAGCGGTGCTGCCAACCCAGTGCCAGGAGCTCAGACTCTCCCAGGCAGCTCAGGGCAGTACAAAGAGCCACCACTGGGAAAGAGAAGCCCTCAGTTCAAACCCTGGCTCCTCTACCAAAGTGGCTGGGCCAGAAGGGGGTTTCCAAACTTTAAGCCCTAACCCTTCACTCAGATGGTTCTCATGAGGGCCATACAGCCCCCTAGGGGGCATTTTTGGCTGTCACAGTGTTGGGGGACCATTAGTGGCACTGAGTGGGTGGCTGGGGGACTCACACACTGTCCCAAATCCCATACAACTTAATTCATGCAGGTGAGAAATTTGTTTACAATCATCTGATTATAAATCAAATCCCATTTTACATATGAACAAGAAAGTATTTTTACAGTGTTAATACAGACTGAATTTTCCTGGAATGGAGCTACTGTGTAAACTGAGGGAAAACTGGCCTTTTGCTTTGTTTGGAACTTAGCAGAAGTTGTCCACTGTTCAGAAAAATATCACTGAAGGCAGCCCAACCTACTATTTCAAAACTCTGCTCTCAGTCAGCACTTGTGTAGATGTTGCCGTGCTGGTTCTACCTGCGGTCTTAGCATCTGACTGCTTGGTAATGTCACATTCTACTGACGTATTAGAATACACGAAATGCTACAATCGATTTCCTTTTGGTTCTCCTTTATATTACAGGAGGCATTAAGTTGACTGACCACACACACACAGAGTAAACAGGTTGTATTTCTCTTAATTTTAGTTAAGAAAAATAAAAACTCTAACACTTCAACTACAGTTAACTACATGCTGGGCACAGTTCTGAGCACTTAGCTGTATTAACTCACTTATCCACAGCAAAGCCATTTGTTACAAACAAGGGGGTGTGGACTTAAGAGGGCAGGGCACCACTGCTTTCCAGAAGAAAGCCCCAAAGGTGCCCTGTGAAAATCACTAACCTAGGCCCCGTCTCTCTGTGGCGTGACCAGGAGAGGCCAGCCAGCACTTCCGCCATCACTATTCCATCCCTGGAGCAAAATGATCCCACCCCCTACACGGCTCAGCCCAAGAAGAGGCTGGCCACCAGGGCAAGTGGTCTGAAGATCCCCACTGCTTCCTCCCCAGTCCCCGAATCCCAGGGCTCCAGGCCACTCATTCCTACCCTCCTGGGGGTAGGAGGCAGCCACTCCTGAGAACAGCTCCAAGCCCTGCCCTGTGTGGTCCGGGCTGGGAGAGACCCAGAGGCCACTCCCCTGAAGAAGCTGCTTAGAAAGCACAGTCTGCCCTGTTCCTTTACCCATGAAACACCAGCTAACAAATCTCCCTGCTCAGCTGGGTCCTCCTCTCCCTGCTCCCCAACCCCAGGAACAGGGCTGCTCTGCGTGGGGCGGGGGGGTGTGTGTGTGTTGCGGGGGGAAGACTAGAGAGAACACTGGGATCTGGGTGAGAAGAAAGCAGCCAGGGTCCCTGTCCGGTCTCCACCACCCCACCCAGGGTGACCCTGGACATGTCCCCTCCCTCCCTCCCTCCCTCTCTAGCCCGTGTCTTTGTCGGTGAAGCACAGAGCACGGCTGCGGTTGCCCCCAGCACAGCCCCGTCCACACACCTGTGTCTGACACGTGTGGCTCTCATGGCCGGCACGCACACTTCCCACACACGCTCTCCTGACACACTCGCCACCAAGAATGCAGCCGCTGGAGCAGGGAGGCCCTGAACCCCTGTCAAGCAGCCCGGTCCTGCTCTCTGGCCCTCAGCACAGGGCTGCCTCTCAGTCTGTCCAGCTCCCGCCCGCAACCCCCCACTCACTGTGTAGAGTCTCCGCCGGAGTCTGGCCAGAAGAGGGAAGGAGAGCTCTAGGCCAGGGAACCGACGAGCTGCTGGCATCTCCACGGAGCTGGACCCCCTGACCAGGTCACCGGGGCTCTGGCCCGAGGGAGGTGGGGTGGGCAGTGGTCTCAGCTCCTGAATTTCAGGTTCTGCCCAGAAGTGAAGTTGGCCAGAGGTCTGCCCCAGAGACCCCCCAAATCCCACACCAGGGGTGGGAAATGGAGCAGAAGAATAGGGTGGTCCCCTTTTCTCTGCTCTACAGCTGTTTCCACAGCTGGCTACCCTGGCAGGAGAGAGTTAGTTCTTCTCTCAGTTGACTGCAGCCTGGGTCCTCGGTCCTGTTTCTCTGTCCTCTCTCCAGCGCAGTGGTCACGGCTCCAGCCCTATTCCCTGGCTCCCCCGACAGCCCGCCTCCCTCCCCCCTCCCTCCGCAGCTGAGCAGCTCTGACACTGGCTGAAAAAGGACCTTTCTGAATCACTGCCAAGAGGGCGGCGGGAATGGGGGGACTCTTCCTCCCAGCCACCCGCGCTGCCCCCACCTCCTCCCCGCACACAAGGCCCCTGTCTCTGGCTTCCACCCCAGCCCCCAGAGCTGCAGACAACCCCTGGGATTTTAGGGTGGGGGCCAGGTCAATCAGGCAGCAATATACAAAGAGGCCCCCGTCGCGCTTGTCTGGGGCTGTGAGGGCTTAGTGCACAGCCTGAGCTGGGGGCTTGGACACCAGAGAGTCGGTCCTGGACCTTGCAGGCAGACCCTTCGGAGACCCTCCCCCATCTCCCAGTCCCAGCCTTGGCTGGGCGTCTCCTGGCTCAGGCCCTAATGTGGCCCTGTTACCCTGGTGCCCGACGGAAATAGGAGTCCGGCAGCCTGCCAGAGCGGGGCAGTCCAGCCAAGAGCCGGGGTGGGGGGAAGAATCTCCCAGACCAGCTGGCCAAGATCCAAAGCCCCCTCAAAACACACAAATATGCCCCTAAACCGTGCGATGCCCCCAGCCAAAGCTGGAGGATTCCGGGCCATAGGATGTCTCCTGAATAGCACCTACACACACAGACAACAGCCCCAGCTAGAGGGAACTGCAGTCACCCCATGAAGCCCCCGTGGAACCTACACATTCCTAGAGCTGACAAGTGATCCCTCTGGCCCTCCTCAAGGGCGCCAGCTGCTCTTACACCCCCCTCGCTACAGCCCCCAGACACACCTGACAGCTGCAGGAAGTCCTCTCAGGCTCCCTCAGCACCCCCCTCCCAGCCGTGCCCAGGGAGCCCCTGTTTCTTGCACACTGCTCTCTTGTCCCTATCCAGCTGGCCACCAGCTCTGGGAGTCCCAGCTGGCTGGTGGAGTAGGCAGCTGGGGTTGAGTTTTGGGGAGTCAGCATCCCAGGCTCTTTCCAGGGCCTCTCTCTCAGTGCTTGACCTCCCTGGCGGGGAGGTGCCTGCAGGGGCAGCCGTTTCCAGATCTGACTCAGGGAGGGGGGAAATGGGACACCCCCAGCAATCAGTCCTCTTTCCCATCCCCCTGTCATGTCATCCACCGCCACCCAAAGCTTGTGAGGCCAGCCAGGTGCAGCCTCCCTTCAGTGCCAGTGAATCACCAGCCTGAGAATGGAGTCAGAGCTAATGGACAAGATGAAGTCGGGTCAAGGTCACACTGGAGCTGACCTTCCCGCAAACGCTGGCTCACAATGCCCACAGCACAGAGAAGCCTATTGCTTATTTCCCACAAAGCACCATTCTGAAGGAGATCCAGGGACCTGACTTCAAGGGGCAATTTAAGCAGGATTATTCCCTCTACCGCAAGTTGGGGGACTGCTGGATTGGAATGGGCAGACTGAAAATTATAGCCACCCCCTGAAAGATGTGCCCCAAATCCACCAGAACCCCATGCCTGCCTGTTCCCTTGCACATCAGGTAAGAACAAGCCTCAGTAGCTTGCTCAGCAATCCAGCTGTGGGAGGCTGTGGAGAAAAGCAAAGCACGGTCAGGGGTCAGAGGTCAGGCCAGCTCCTAGACCTCTTCTCCCAGCCCCAGAAAACAGCCACCTTTCTGCACCGCCACCCCCACCCCGCTTCGTCCTGTCAGTGACTGCCCTCTACTGGTCAAGAGAGAAAGTGCTTGATCTCCAAGGGGAAGGGAAGCCGACCCATAAATACCATGATCATGTTTTCCAAAGCAAACAGGGACATTTGGCTTAATACGCAGATTCATAAAGCCAATAAGAGGGAATGTCCAGGGCACAGGGACTCAGTGTCCATAAAGGACTAAACCCACATCCTGGCAGTGCTTTCGGGGCTCCCCTGCAGCGATGAAGCAAGCCCAAAGGACAGCTTAATTGGGTCCCAAGGACTCAGAGATACTGAAGCAGATGTCAGCAACAGGAATTCACCACCACTGACTCGCCCCGCCCCACCCCACACACAAACACATCACCCTTCTTTACCCAGCATCCCAGCCCCCAGGATCTGTCCTGGGGCCAGGATCACAGATACCCCTCACTCCTGAAAGGCTCCCCTCAGCTCACCAGCAGACGATGCGGTCTAGGGCCCGGCTACCTGGCTATCCCCCAGGTTTTCCCTATTACCTGCTGTCCCTCCTCGGCCCCAGTTAGGTGCAGATATGCAAATCTCTCACCCTTGGAACCCAAACTCCGGGCTTTAGGGCCCGGGAGGGGAGCAGAGCCCTCCCGCAGTCCCCGCCCCTCCAGCGCACCGGCAGCGTCACTGCCCTGCGTCCTGAGGGGCCGGGCCTCGAGCATCCTCAACAAGGAGGGCCGGGGCCGCTAAAGCACCTCAGCCAAGGGAAGGCCCAGTCCTCGGGCCCGCACGCACCCCACAGCCCGTATCTGCCACCTGCAGCCAGAGCGAGGGAGCAGAGCCTGGTGGTAGCGGTCTCTCCCGCTGGCCTGCGGCTGCCCCTCCCCCAATCCCGTGCACAGGCTCCATTCCAAGGAGCCGCCTCTCCGCAGCGTAGGCTGCCCCCCAGAGAGCCCGGTGCGGGGCTGCACCTTCACTGACCACGGAGCCACAGCTCCCCTCGGCCCCTGTCCGCCTCCAGGACCCCAGAGATCCACAGCCACCGATCAGGTCCTGGGGACTCAAGGGCCCCCATACTCCATGACAAGGGGGGGGGCCGTCCAAGAAGCTCACAGAAGAGAAGCCCCCATCCTAACTCGACCTGAGACCCCTCCCTCTAGACCCCTCTCCTTCCACCAGCCCAGCTTCCACCTAGCTCCAAGCATGCGCCCACCTGCCAGGCTCCCTGGTGCGCTGCCATTCCGCACTCCACTCAGGCCCGGGGAACCTGCCCAGCCCACTCCTCTCCGCAGTGGAAGCCACGCCCCCCGCATCCACACTGGGAGGGAGACCTCAGCCCTCCGCAGCCCACGCCTCTTCTCACCAGCCTGGACTTCTCCCCGCCTGCACCTCCACCCGCCCCGCCCCCAAGACTGCTCGGGCCCGGGCAGAGCACTGTGGCTGACTTCTCTGGGCTCAGAAGAGTGCGAGTACCCACACTCCCTCCCGCAGGAGCTGCTACAACACGTGTCCACGCAGGGCTGTCACCCAGTGCCAGGATGAGGACATTGCTAGTGGAGGAGGTCCCACGGCAGAGGCCCCAAGGTGCCACACGCACACCCTCTCATTCCAATGGCACCTGAAGCATCCACTGACTCCTCAGTACCAGGTATTTAGGGGTGAGCTCAGGGCACCCTCACACCTTGGGGCTTTGGGGCAGAGGAGGAGGGAAATGCTGAGACACCTCTACTCCCCACTCCCCTCCCCACACACACACACTCCACCTCAAGACTAAGGAAGGAGACCCCGGGTGGGCACTAGGTGAGTTCCCATAAGGCTCACTCTCTTCAAAAGCTCCTTCTCCAGCTGAAGCGCGTTGGCATAGGGGATGACCCTGCCAGGCAGGGTGTTTATTCTAGGCAGAAGCTCCTCTGCATCTTACTGCAGCTATGGCAGAAACTGGTTTTGGGAGCAGCTGCAGGAACACTCAGGAGGCCGTCGAGAAAGAGAGGCTGAAAATGCCAGGCCCACAGATCCCTCCTCCTGGTTGGATAAAGAGTCTGATCTAAACCATTCCCCCATCCTGCTTTCTCCCTACCTCCTCCCTCCACAAGGCCCCTGCCTCCGAAAGCCATCCTATTACAAGATACCCACAAGATCCAAACTGCCTCTAGGATTTGGGGAATCCACCCCACATGTATACCCTCTGGTCTACAACTTGCCCCCTTATCTCTAAAGGGAGCCGGTAGTGGCCCAGGAACCAGCCTGCCTCTGCCGTCCACTCCCCTCCCCCAGGCTCTCCAACAGCATCAGTCAAGTTACAAATCCACACTGAGGAGCAGACGTGACATGTAATTTCCGGCCAAGAAGATTTTTCCAAAACAATCTACCGTATTCTCAGGAATATATGCCAGGCCTGCTCTCTTGTATCTCTGCCCTCCCTCTTCTCCAGGCCCTGGAGGGAAAAAACATACTGGGAAGGAGAAGGAGGGGGGCTTATGGCTCCTCTCCCAACCAGAGGATTATCTTGCCTACACATGCCAGCCCCACCAAGCCCAGTCAACCTCAACTCACCCCTGTGTGTGCAGCGCCCAAGCTTCTGGACCAAGGCCAGGCTGGTTCCCCTTGGGACTTCATCCCAGAGAGAACTGTACCAGGTAACCCCACACCTTCAGGTCATCCCAGGTCTGAAATCACACTGGTCTGGGGAGGAGGCTGGCCACAGGCCAAGGGAGAGAAGGGGGTGATTCAGACACATACCATGGCTGTCCACACCCTCTCCATCTCCAGGCCACAGTGGCCCACTCCCTTCCAGGGGAGCTTGGCAGCTGAGGCCCTGAGGACAGTCAAGCCTGAGGCATATTTGCCAGCAGTGCTGAGCCCACAGGCCCTGAGTCTAACCCTGAGGGCTCTTCACCCTTCTCCTTAACTGTGGATATTTCCTAAGACTTTGGAACTCACCCTTCCTTCTCTTCCCTCCCTGGGCGTCACCTCCTCTCCTCCCAGGGCTCCAATTAGCACCATGTGCTGTCTGTCTCCATTCCTGAGCTCTAGAAGCGCTACACCCATGCTTCTAGACATTTACAGCCAGCTCCACCAGGAGGATGCAAAGGTACCATAAATTCTACATGTCCAAATTGAGCTCATCAACCTCCGCCTTAAACCTAGCCTGAAAACATCACAAGCCAACACGAGCCACCTAGGCTAGACACCTCACCCCTGGCTCCCCAACCATAACGCCCTTCTTTCCCCACTGGGCAGGCCACAAAATCTTGTTTCTGCCTCCTCATTACTCCTCCCATCAATACCTTTGGGACAAGAGTCAGACAGACCCGGGCTGAAATCTTGGCTGTATCACTCTCTAGTCAGACGACTTCTGGGCAAATGCCTTAACCTCTAAGCCTCAATTTCCTTATCTGCAAATGGGAATAAACAGTACGTCCTTCAGAAAGTGCAAACTCAATGAGATCACGAACGGCACACTTAGCACAGCATCTGGCACGTAGTTGCCTATTCTTATACTGTCATCTGAACACGGATCCGAAGTTCCTCTCCTGCTTACGTCCTCTGTAATTCCTCACTGAGCCAAATACAAGGCCCTTCAGGATCCATCCCTCGCCTATCTGTCCACCTCCAACTCTTATCATTTCCTTCAAACGTCTCCATATTCCAACCAAGTCAAATACTTGCCCTTCCCTAGACACAACATCTTCTTTAATTTTAATGTCTTTGAGCTATTCTTTGTGATACTCTTTTCTCTTCATGATGAACTCCTACACATTTGGGTCCCTCAAGACCCAAATAAAACGTCATCTCCTTTGTAAATTCCCATTTCCTATCCCCAAACGGTTCTTTTTGCCATTGCTTCCCATGTTATTTTGTTAAAGTATGTTTGAAAACAAGAGTGGTATAAACACATAATACTACACGTGGAAAATAGCCAAAAGGATGAAAAAAATTTTAATTATCTATCATGCTCTGATCCTTAAAGGGTGCTATTTCTGTAGCACTCTGTACTAATTCTATTGAGGGAGCCCTATGTACGTACCTCTTGTGGTTTGTACATTGTAACCATCTGTTTATATCTGTCACCTTGAAAGAAGAATCTGGCAAGGCACCTGGTCAAAAGAGTTTGCTAAAAGGGACTTCAAGCCTTTGTGACAGACACTGGGGAAAGGAGGCCTGTCTCTTTTCCAGTGAGCTGGTACCACCTTATGTCCAGTGAATACCAGGAATAAGCCTGGTTGCCCTTGTCGGCCCTGGCTTTGCTTCCCCCCATTATTTCGAACCCAGAAAAGCAAGCACCTTCATGCGAAGAAGGGCAGCCAATCTCATTACAGCTACTCCTGTCCCAGAACCACTAAGCTACTTTGCTCCCACAAAGCTATTTCAGCCCCGGGGACAACACAGCAGTCCCTCAAGGCAGAGGGACAGCTTTGACTGAAGGCTGCCTTCTCATCAGACTGCGGAGGGAGAGCTGGGGATACCACAGCGTTGATCGACGGGCAGGAGGTCTTTTTTGTCAGGCATCCCAGCCTCGCAGAGAGAGAGGAGGGAGACAGGGGGATCAGAGGGTGGGAAGGCAGGGCACAGAAGCAGGGGCAGACACACCAGATACAGGGACCCTCCTACGCCTCATCTCCTTTGACTCCAACAGAGAAGGAGGTGTAACTTTCAGAGAGGAAAGGAAAGAACCTGACTAAACACCACAACCACAGGCCCTCACTGAACCCAGTACCTCCGCACATCTACCAACTTGGTCTTGAAAGTTTTTTTTTTTTTTTGTGGGGGGGGTACACAGGCCTCTCACTGTTGCAGCCTCTCCCGTTGCAGAGCACAGGCTCTGGACGTGCAGGCTCAGCGGCCATGGCTCATGGGCCCAGCCGCTCCGCGGCATGTGGGATCTTCCCGGACCGGGGCACGAACCCATGTCCCCTGCATCGGCAGGTGGACTCTCAACCACTGCCCCACCAGGGAAGCCCTTGAAAGTATTTTTTAGCTGTTTCATGCTCCACCAGCGAAAGACCAGTGTGCCAACCCTGACACCCAGAGACAGGACACTGAGAGCCCTAATACATTCCTGGAGCATCCCTCCCCCGCACATAAACACCACTCGAGTGTGACAGTGGGTAAATTCCTGCAGTTGCCTGAGTCTCTTGCACACATGCACCCCACACGCCCGAATGACAGGGCTGGGATGCAGGGTACTGCAGAGAGCTGCCTCTCACCATCCTCTGGCCCAAACATCCTCCCGGCACCAAGGCCCGGCAGCCGAGGCTCCCGGGAAGAGAGGAAGGATGTAGTCTGGCTCCCAGCAGCCAGCCACTCCCAGGGCTCTTCCAGGGCTGGGCAGAGGCCGCCCAGCTGGTCGCCCTGCCTACCAGCTCAGGCCTCACCCCACTCCCCCAACCCCCTCAGCAAGAGCCTAGAGCTGAAGGGGCCTATTGTTGGGCCCTGGAGGTGGGGTGGGCCCAGAGCTGTGAATTGGAGAGCATTTACTCTGTGAGAGGGACTGCTCATTCCCTTGGGACAGCGCCCACACCAGAACCCCAGGAGCTAGGAACATCCAGCGCAGGGTGGGCTGCTGGGCCAGGGAGAGAAAGGGTCTGAACCTGGAAGTGAGAGAGATGTCAGGGACTGCAAGATATTTAAGATACCTTAAATCCCACCCATTTTAGAGATAAAGAAACTGAGACCCTGAAAAGGAAGGGACATGCCTGGTCTGAGGCACCTAAGAAGCTGTCATAGGGAATGGATCCCTAGGAGCTGCAGAGCAGTTCAGAGCAATGGTGATTCCTCTCTGGCCATAGAGGGGCAGCCCTGCCAAGGTCAGGGACTAATAAAGGTCAGGGGCCTGAGCGGAGAACCTGCCTCAGGAGGAGACACAACATCCAGGGGACAGGCAGAGACAGGAAGAACCTAGAGTTCTCACATCCAGCAGAAGCCCTTGGCTCCCAGGACCTAGAGCTGCTGAAGGAGGGCCCAGGCCAAACCTCTCATCCCACCCACCTCTTTAGTCACTCACCACATACTGACTGTGTGCTCACCCTGTGCTAGGTTTGGGGGACTATGAAGGAGGAGAAGTCACGATTCACATCCTCAGAAAGACACTGTGTGCAAGTTCTTTACTAAAAGTTTTATCTTTCATTGCCTGATTAACCTGCCCCCCACTACCCTACATTATCCGCATTTTACAGATGAGGACACTGAGGCTCTGGAGGGGTGACCAGGGTCACCTGTTACTGGAGAGTCACAGGTGAACCAGAATTCAGTCCATATACAACTGGACACAAAACTGCTTGGTTCAAGGATTTGAGCTCATGGAGGGCAGAGCTGGAGTCTTATTTGTTAAATATATACTAGATACTGAATGAATTCATGGATTCTGCGAGGAAGTTTAAGGAGGGAATAGAGGCTCCAGGAAAAGACAGATTGCACAAATGCACATAATTTCACTCCTTCCCAAAACCCCACCAAAGCCAAAATGATCAAAAGAGAAATTTTCTGAATGGCAAAAGTCCCTAAGGACGGGAAGAATAGTAGAAGAGAAAACCACAACATAGCTTTGGAAGCTGGAAAGCAGATGGCCAGTGACTGTGGAGAGCAGACCTGAGAAAATCCCCAATCCCAAGGTGAAAAGGACCTGATTGACCCCACAGAATCCTCAAAAGGCCTGGGAACTAGAAGCCCCAGAAACCTCTAGAAGAAGAACAGGTGCTAAAAATACAGAGGATTAGTCAAAAGCTGTTTAAGAAGCAGTAAGACCCCCCTGGACTCCCTCTCCAGTACAAAGCCACTGGGTTGCTGCCCTGGTACCACCCGGCAAAATCGGGATTTCCCTTCGGGGGTAAAGTGCGGGCCTCTGCACTGGCGCAGAAGGCTTGGCTGACAGCGGGGTACCAGGGACCTAACAAGGAAAGCACACATAGATGTGGAGATCTCAGTCTCCTTCTCGACTCCCTCCAGGAACATGGAGCCAGACCTCCACCTCCTGGCAGAAGACAGGAGTGTCCTTTCTGGGGACTCTGATCAGGCCAAGAAAGATATAAAGAAACCAACATTAGGAGTTCTCCACAAACCGAGCAGCCAGGTCACCATACAAAGAAGCTCGGTCAACAAGGCCACCCAGTGCTTGTGGTCAAGAGTAGATGACAAAGAAATACTGGACACCCAAGGAAAGCCTCTAACGTGGAAGAAAGAACAAAACACACAGAAAATGCTCATTAATATCCTCAGAAAGACAAGATGTTGTATCTACAAAACAAGAAGAGAATATTATTATTTTTTAATAGGGGGAATAAGAAATTACAAATATGACAGGAAACATAACAAATTCAACAGACCCATCCTCACCCCAACCAACAAAGTCTAGCCCACAGCAGGTGCTCAGAAATATCTGCTGAATGGATAAATGAGGCAGTATTTCATGAACTTTAATGCACATGCAGATCACCTGGGGGAATCTTGTTAAAATGCAGATTCGGATTCCATAGATATGGGGGTGAGCCTGAGTTTTACATTTCTAACAAGCTCCCAGTGATAATGTGCTGGTCCTT